GGCATATCCCTCGGGACATGTAGTTTCTTACGCAAGAACAGCACCGCACACAGCCCGATTTTAAAAAAGACGCATGGCCTCCCGCTTCTCTCTCGGGAGAGCAGTTTTAAAATTCAACCCCACGCGGCATCGCACACGAGGGGCGATGTGTGTTACACAGCGCTCATATCAATCCCAAGGATCGATATAAAAGCGCTGATAGTCCGCGGTATGCCGGAGGATACGCGTCAGGTTTTCCCCAGCATTGTAATTTCATCGTACGCCTAATAGACACACACACACACACACACGCATAAACACGTACCAGTTGTCATTAATTATGCATAATTATGTTCACGAAATAATATTAATTATACAGCTATATGTAAGTGTAAACTTTGGCAGCCTCTTGCTGACGCCAAAGGATGAAATAATTTCTCTCTCTCTCTCTCTCTCTCTCTCTCTCTCTCTCTCTCTCTCTCTCTCTCTCTCTCTCTCTCTCCGCAACATAAAGGAATCCGTTCGCGACATAGCTGGGTTCGGGCTCGGGACTAATCCGGTTATCCAGTTAAATTGACAACATAATTCTTTTCATGAAACGTTCCTACCGCCCTGTTTTCCAATTAATCGCCTCTATGCACGACAAAATCATGGATTCTAGGTTACGTCCGAATGCATGTTGCGCGTATCAGGAGCGGCTGGCCACGTCGCGCTAATCGTATCGATCGAGCACTCTTAATCCATTAATGAACTTCCCAGGCTCGTTTTACCCTGGGTACCCGGGCTTTTCGCAGGCATCGTCTGTATCTGTTACATTCTGCCGTTAGGTGTGTGTGCGTGCGAGAGTATGCGCTTCTACTTCACGTACGGTCGCGGACAAAAGTTCAAGTCAGAACTGCTTCAACTGCTACGATCTAGCGTGCCTCTCTCTTTCATTTTTGCCTTGTCTCTCGTTCTCTCTCGTGTCTTGTTACATTTTCACCGCTATATATCTCCCATTTGCGCGTTATTTGCTAGTATATCGTGTTTTCTCTCTCTGTCTCTCTCTCTCTCTCTCTCTCTCTCTCTCTCTCTCTCTCTCTCTCTCTCTCTCTCTCTCTCTCTCTCTCTCTCTCTCTCTCTCTCTCTCTCTCTCTCTCTCTCTCTCTGTCTTCTATTTTATATACTTTTTTGATGATGCTTGAAACATCGAACGCACTTGCAAACATTAGAGTGTTTTACGAAGCTCGATTTATTGCAGTTTTAATACGTGTCCGTCTGGTTTGTAGATGAAACTCGTCTCGTGCGCAGAAGATTCTATCAACGCGCGGCTATCATCGTCACTTTTGGCCGCGACTTTACAAGTACGCGCATGTATGTATTTGTATAATCCGACACTTTGCAGACTCTTGTTGGTTGACAGTGATTTTCCATGGGCTACAAAACTGTCGTTAGACCCTTTCGCGAAAGGTCCATCCCCGACCCTCGTACGTAGCTCACCTAAAACTTTTCCTACGAACCGCACACGAGGGCGTAATGCTGTACATCGAAGGGTTAGAAATTTCTCGTCACCGCGCTCCTCTCTCTCTCTCTCTCTCTTCGTTTTGTCACTCTTCCATTCACAACACGGCATCGCGTGAAAATTTCGTGCATATCCGGAATCGCTTTTCCGTTGAAAAAAAATCAACAATTAAAAAAGAAATTGTATTCCGTCGCAAAAGTAATGCCGCAACGCGAGAGTCCAGAGAAATCGGCCGAAATCTTTTTTTGTAGAGCCGCCAAACAAGCGATAAATCTCCCGTGCCGCCTTCATCCTCGACAACAAATTCCTCAAATATTTATCTGCCTTGCGCCCTCGAATCTCTCTAGTATGTCGTCGCCCCAAACGCCACTTCCGTTTCACACTCGACGAGTGTGTCAATTCTGACGCCTATCGACGTATGACAAACACCCTTCTCGTCTCGCTTTAGCTGCCGTCTTGTCGTTCCCGACAACTCTGACAATCGGGACAAAAGAATGACTCGGTGGAGAGGAAGACGCCGCGACGACCTCGACGTTTCTTCTTTGTTTTCTTTTTTCTTCTCGAGAATTCAGTCGCGACCGAGCTGCGTGACGCTTGAAATTGAACGGCATCTTCAAAATTAACATCGAGGTGGGCGACACTTTTCGCGTCGCAATTCATTATCTCGCGAACGCGATCACTGTGACGCGACTCCGCCGGCGCGCAAGTATTACGCGTAGGTGTGTGCTTTTATCGCGTCGTGAGCGAAAGAAATACAGCTTAGCTTTTGCACAAGTGCAGCGAAGCAAGCTCTTTCGAGCATCGACCAGGCCGAATGTTCGTGACGTGTTTCGCGTCTGCTGCGCGCAATTAATTTATTTTTCCCCGCTCGGGCGTTAATTGTTAAACTTAGATGGGCGGTCGTCGACGATCCCGCAGTTAGACTCCGTGATCGAAAGAAGGAGAGGGCGAGCGTACGGTAAGAAAAGAGAGGAGACGACGAGACGAGGATGCGACCGGACGTCTGACGCGAATCGAACAGAGAGGGACGATCGTATAGAAGACGACGGGTGTAAGGACTGGCTGGGTTAGACGCAGGGGGGTGCTGGTGGAAGGCTGCTAGGCCGGCGGCAGACCGAGACGAGAGAATCGAGAAGTTCCGAAGGGTGGCGGGAAGCCAAGGCGCGACAACGACGGGTAGATTGGGTTACCGAGATAATTAGAACGATGATCAGGAGCGATGCACGCCTCGTTGAACGATTCTTTTTAGCCGACCGGTTGTCCGACACCGTTGTCGGCTGTCGGCTGTCGGTTTCGTGTTTTCGAGAGAGGGTGAGAGAGAGAGAGAGAGAGAGAGAGAGGGGGGGGGAGGGGAGAAGCGGCGATAAAGGCGGGATAGTGGCCCCGTCGAGGGAAGATACGATCGCGCTGAGCGTGTCCTGTGCCCAGGAATCAAGACCATGGCGCGGCGCGTTTTCCTCGCCGATAAGTCTCAACGGGGAGATATTACGGCACCCCAGTGACACATTTTTATGCGCCGCAGCTACGACGACGTCGTCGTGTGATTGGTCGTTGAAGTCGGCGCCCCGTGAGATCGCTTGACCGGAAACGTGTAGCTGTCGTAAAAACGTCTACGGCGGCGTTCGCCGCCGACCGGAATATTCATCGCGATTCTTCTCCGCGCGGCAGCGAGTCGCCTCGCGCGCGCGATTTTCTTCCATCGGCGAAAGGCTCTTTCGGAAAAAAAGCATCGGCACGATACGGTGGTTGGCGACAGTTTGCGCAGCACACGTACAGCAAAATGCGCAAATGCGTAGAAGAGTCGCGATCTCAGACGGATGGCGAGGGCGCGAAGATATATATCTTTTCATTTCGACTTGGCGCAGTTTTTAGATTGCGCGCCTCTGCGCCGAGCGCGACGTCGCGCGCTTGACTTTACTCTATTTGCGTTGAGGGACATCTGAATATTTAATCGGCCCTTCAACTACCCCGCCTCCTTCGCTCCTCCGCAAACCCCGCTTCTCGTCCGACTCTCAGTCCCAGCTGCGGTGAATTATTTAACACCCCCAGGGAGACCCCGGTTACCTACGCGAACCGACGTGTCAGCGAGATTTTAGTATTCTTTGTTTATGTTTCTCTGTCACGTACGACATCGATAGCCGCGCGACTTTCGCTGTCCCACCCTTCGACTGTACAACTGAATGATGTAGTAAAAATATTTGGAATATGTGCCGGGGAACGTGTATGACTGTCATAAATTCAGCTTATCAGATGCAGTGTCAGATGAATGCACGAAGCGGCTGAGTGATCATTCGGAGAAGAGAACAAAGTGATAGGGAGAATCTCATCTTATTTACCGCTACTATCATCAGCTCATTATGTTGCGAGATTGCGCAACATGAAGCGCGGGTCTATATCATTACATAGATCGAAATTTCTACTGAAGAAGTATATTATCCCATAAGTAATTTAATCTTCTTTCTTTTTTTTTTTTTTTTTTTATCACCAAACTCAAATGAGAACGAAGGTTGTTAAAGGAAGTTCATTCGAGATACATTCATTATTTGAATACATACAACGCTGCAAATTTACGATATGCCATTTTATGCTTAATTCTGTGATCTCATATTATAATTTAAAAAAATTTTAAGCGAATATCAATATTTTACGTAATTACTTGCGGGATGATTGATTTATACGTTCTCACTGTGCTTCGGTAGACATCAATTTCTACGATGAAATCGTTAAATTTAATTTTGTCAGTGCGTACTTTTGACACTTCGCACTGCAGAGATGTTGAAATATTCCGGCTCGGATAAGCCAAGGGCGAGGGTGAGAAGATATTCGCAAGAATTTCCCATTTCCCCTCGAGTCGAAACCAACTCGGTAAATGCACAGGGCGATTGTTCGACAAATAGAGGTCGGGAGTAAATAATGTGCAAACACAACTTCGACTATGTGTGAAAGACGTCTTCGGCTGTGCATACATTACACATTTAAATGGAAAAGCCAAATATATCGTGGTAGATATTTACATGCAATTAAGCAAAAATTCATCGGGTCGAATTGCATGGTACTGATAAATTTTCAGCGTTAGCCATCTTCATTCAAATGTGTATCCCTGTTATTAGACGAGAAATATCGTCCTCTTTTGAACAACCTATTTATGCGATTAGCTCTCTCATATTGCTGGCGCCTCTCTCGGAGTAGGACGGTATCATCATGGTGACGTTGCTCGAGTTAGGTCCTGAAGAGAGTACGCTCTGTCGGGTTTATCTCTCGTCGGTAATATTTCCCCACGTCGTAATATCTCTCGTCATTTCTCTCTTCATTTTCGTCGAATTTGCTCCCGTCTCAAAACCGACCATGAGACCACCATGAGACGACAGAATTTATTAAAACGCTCAAATATATTGCGTCCAACGATTGTATCCAACGATGTTACGTCAGGTTACGTCTGTTTCTGAACAGAGTGCGCTAGATTGCATCTCCCTTGTCTCGATTGTGGCCTGTCTTCGAGTTTCATGGACGAGTGAGGCGGCAACTCGTACGGTAAACACGTAAGAGAGCTGCCATCGGTCTCGAAATGATAGACCCCGTCAATGCCAAGCGCGTTATGCATTGATTGCTGCAGTAACGGCGATAAGCCGTCGCGACCGTATAATTAGTTCGATTCCAAGGATTATGCAGAGAATTGGGGCGCGGGCGGGGGCGGGGGAGGGGAGAGATAACACACGCGAGGCTCGCTGTGAATGTGGCGCAGAAGCAGATATGATTGCAGTCCTTCGTCGAATGCAGTGACGCGAGAATGGCGGAAGGACCGGAATTGAGTTTTTTCGATTTGCGTACGGTGCACGATCATTTTGATCAGGCGCTCATGGAAAACGATGATATTGACTTGAAGGCGTATCTGGATGCCTACAACGAGTTGTACAAGTAAGTAGTGCCGCTCTATCGCTATTGCTATTGTTTGACATAACCTCAATGTCACACACGGGTGTCAAATTGTTCGACACCGTCAGTGTCCTTTGAAACGTTTCGAAACGACATAAAAATTCAGGTCGCATGACGACACAACGAAATAAATCTACGTTATCTGTTTAGAAAGATCGCTTACATCAGGCATTGTCTCAATATACGCAAGTGTATACAGCTCTATCATGCGGCTTCTTTTCTTTATCTGAAGAGTAAAATTCTGCATATTTTGCAAGTTTTGAAAAGCGTATGCGACAAAATGAAAAAAATCTGAGTCACGTGTCAAGGCAGCATTTCCATGATATACGCTATTATCAGAGATAATGCTTCTTGTCATTGTTTATTACGTTTCTCTTGAATCAGCAAGATAATCGCGCTATCTCTTCTGTATTTGTGACGTCAAAGAGTTTAGATTGCTTCCGCGTAAAGCGCGTAAAACGCATTGCGTAACCATGCCATATGGACAGATTTTTTCAGTTAATGGGCAGTGTCTTCAGTTTTGTGTCCTCTGATTTGAAGCAGAAGATAGACATATTGGCCGAGTTGAGAAACAAAGATAATCAGAATTATACAACCGTCAAGACCATGATCGAGTACGAAAGGGAGAATAAACTGTTGGAGAAGGCCGACTTCGTTAATGGCGCACGTACTTTACTACGGTTACATAGAGGTTTAGGTATTGCCGTCATTGTTTGGCTGGCGTTGACTCACCGGGATTCACGATTCACGCATACGTTTTGGCCTTCTAGATTTTATTAGGGAATTTTTACGGCAACTGGGTGATCTTACGGACGTCGACAAGACGTCCAGTTGTTGTCAGGATGCGTACAACAAAACCCTGGCGAAGCATCATCCGTGGGTGATTAGGAAAGCTGCGATAGTCGCGATGTACACTATGCCAACTAGGGAGATGTTATTGAAGAAGGTAAAGCGACTAGTGGATTTACTTTAAGGAGCTCGAGACAGGAGGAAATAACATTTCTCTAACACGCCTGACTCTTCAGGTCTGTGGTGAAAATGTCCAGCGAAACGTAGACATTCTACCGAAGATGTTGGAGGTGACTGCCGACGTGTTCGATCGTACACACACGGTTTTTGATAATTATCGGTTGCATACGCTACCATAAGCGATAGTAGAGAGATAAAATGGGGGAGAGAGAGAGAGAGAGAGAGACAAGGGAGAGAGTGGGAGAAACATTTATAAAACCAATGTTGCATTTTGTCGATACTATTATAGCTTTTCGAGGCACCGCACGCGATATTCCATATGTTCGAGATAATGTGATATATACGTAATTACCGTACTACTTGTCGATGTAATAAAATAAGCACGCTCACTTTTGGGGACATGTATTTCTTTTATGGGCGATTTTACGTATACTGATGATGTACAAATAATAGGCACGTACGTACTACAATAAGTGTATCATTTTTATAAGATGACATGTTTGTTGCGGCTTAGCGCGCGTGCACAAAATTTATTTCGCCACGCGAACAGGTCTGAGCATATCGCGTCGTTTCTCTTCTCCGCTCGAATGCTCGCGTATATTGATTACAGTCTGTATTTCGATGTTTCTATAACAGTATTGTATAAAAACTTAATAGCGATAAAGTGAAGGGACGGGTAATAAGATTATACAGCCTGTCTCATGTGTCGCTATCTAATGCTTAAATTGACGCCGAGTATTTAATTGGTGAGAGAGACAGAGAGAGAGAGAGAGAGAGAGAGAGAGAGAGAGAGAGAGAGAGAAATTTCTCGGGGAAATGCCGTATTCTCTCAGAGCGAAAATCCTCGAAACGAAATGGTTGATAAACGCGTCTGATTTAATAATAAACTACTGTAACATATAATTAAAATCATTTTTAATGAATTCACAATACTGAAGTCATTGGTGTTGTGATTGCGGTGTTGTTTGTTATCATCGTAACCGTAGAATTCGAGAGCGAGATGTTTTCGACCAGCATACCTGCAACAATGGAAAACTTGATCGATAACGCGAACGTCGCGCAACAAACGCCGCGACGGCGGACTCGAACGATGGCGGGCCGCCGTTTCTACATTCAGGATCGCGGCCTTACCGGCTATGCTGGCGGTGAGAAAGCAGACGGCGCTGCCGGCGAAGAAGGCTCGCACCACGACACTGGTGACTTGCTCCTTCTTTTCTGGCGCCAAAGAGGAGAGGCAGCCAATCATGATACCGATCGCACTTGGATTCGCGAAGCCGCACAATGCAAACGTGGCGATCGTTTCCGCCCTGCCGTATATCCTGCCTTGCATCTTGTACTCGCCCATCCTCTGGTACGCGACCAGTTCATTTATCACTGTCTTGAGACCTATCAATGTGCCCACGTCCTCGCAATGTTCCCAAGGAACACCCATGACCCAACTTAGCGGCATAAATACTTTCGCCAGGATGATCTGTAAATTCACGCGACTGTGAGTTTCACGCTCGGAAGAAGCGAGAAAGAAGCCTGTCGTCTGTCGTGAGTGACTCGTTACCTCGAGAGACAGGGCTTCGTAACCGACGAGGCCGCCGAACCAAGAGAGCAGGGCGTTGAAGAACGCGATGAAAGACACGAAGGCCACGATATTCGCGATTATGCCCAAGATAATCGGTAGCGCGGCTAATGCACCATTGGTAGCAGCGCCTAAGATGCTGGTGTCCGATCTAAACATGATTATCCACGAACCCTCGTGATTATCGAATTGAGAGGGACGAACGAGCGAGCGAGCAGGCGAGCAGCAACGTACTTCTCACGTCACTTACGATTTCTCCAGCTTCATGTTCTCGAACTTCGTCTGACTCTGCTCGAGCTCCGGGTAAAAGAGCTTGGAGTAGCACAGGGACGCGGGCGCGGACATCACGGAGGCGGTGATCAGGTAGACTGGTTGCGCGCCGAACGCGATGTAAGCGGCCAATATCGAACCTGCAACGGAGCCGAACGGACAGGACTCTGCATGTTATACGAGTCGAGCGAAGCGAGGGTTGTACGAGTTGTACGGAAAAGCCATTACAGACCGGAAACCGTGGAAAATCCCGAGCATATTATAGCGTGAATCTCCGAGGACGTCAGCTTGTTCAGGTACGGAGCGATTAGCAGAGGAGATTCCGACTGAAAAATGAGTGATTTTATTATCGAATTCGGGAGTACGAGAGATTTATTCCGATACATTTATTCCGATACACGAACGAGATATATTACCATGCCGATGAAAGGGTTGGCGACCGCGCATATCGACTCACACAGGGTTGTACCCATTACTCTTTGCAAGATCCATCCTAGTTTCAAGATAATCCATTGCATAGCGCCGAGATACGACAAGACTTGCACTATGAAACTGAAGAAGAAGATCACAGGCAACACCTAATGGAATAAAATATCGGTCCTGGTAGTGATCTGTGACAATTTACGAGATTACAAGATCCGGCCAGCCGTAATCGAGACCTCGCGGCGAAATCATAGAATTCGGCAATTTTTCAGTGGTAAAATTTTACGTGCTATTGATAGTTAAATTTACTAGGATGGGAAAAAAGTACTTTGTTGATAAAATTATGTCGAGCTAACACAATCTTGTTAAACAATTGGTTGTTAGTATTCATATTTTAAGTTATGTTTATCTAATATATGTATGAAGAGGCATCGAGATTACTCTAGCCGATCTTTGTGTGTTTTCGTTAAATATATCAGTGAGAGAAAGAAAGTTCAACCAACAGAGAACGCGAAAACTCCCTTGTTGACTAAATCCTCGGAGAACACGAATCTTGCGCCGGCTTTAGCGAAGTCCAAAAAGATAGCCACTCTGCCGGACACACATTGGAAGACGCTACGTCCGACCTCCCATCGAATCGTGATGAGTCCAAATGTAAATTGCAAAAACAGGCCCAAAATGACGGTACTCCAATTGATCTGTACGTATTTAATTAACGGGCATGACAGTAAATATGACAAGAGGGTAGTAGAGTAGCATTGAGTGCGAGAGTAAGTCAGCAAAGAAAATTCTATCGGGCACAATAGACTGACGAGGAAAGACGAAGAGACAGAAGGAGGGGGAAGGCTAAAGGATGAAATTATATAAAAGGCCCTTTTACTCGGAAACTGAATATGTTATGTTTATCCGAAGCCAACACGGTTGAAAAATATATCGTTGCTTTCTGTCTTTAGCTTGATGTACGTAGATGAGTTTGCTTTCCTGAGTTCCTCCAGGATCCCCTTAATTCTAGCTGGAATTAGCTAACCCTCGATAATTTTCCTCAGTATCGCTCGCGTATGCGTTAGAGTAATTGGAATGCGTTTGCGTCGATGCGACAGATAGGGGACGATTATTACATAAAGAGTCAAATTAGTGAGTCAACTGTTTTTCTCCGTACTACGAATGTGAAGACGAATCGACCGATAAGATGATCGCCGACGATATCTTGACGCATCCACAAAGCTTTATCCTTTCAGGATACAATGTACTAACCTGTCTCGGATGTTTGGAAAATATCAGTCCCAGTCCCAGTATGACGATAACACCGAGGCCACTAACTAATCTCTCTCTCGAGTCTGCGGTATCGATAACGAGGAAAGTAATAATGACGATGAACACGATCAAGTAGAAGATCGTCGCTCCAAAGCGCGTCACGAGCCTGCAAATTTTATTCGCACACGTAAATCATAATTTAGACAAATTTATTACGTTTTTTTGACGAAGAATCACATCAATTTCTTTTTTTTTCTTTTTTTACTTGGTATCTCGTAAGCGCACTAAGGAACTTGTCATTGGCTTGAAACGTTGTGCGATGCGCTTGCCGAAATATCGCTTCACGATCAGGAAGTAAACTAGGCCAACGTAAACGACTCCCACGATTATGAGCAGCATGCCGTAACCACCGCACCATCCGAATTCGCATCGTCTCCCCGAGGCTGAGAAACGTATTGTTGTCGTCGATTACAACGTTGCGGCCGCATCGATTTTTCAGTCATCTCAAGCTCGTCGTCACCGGTATATTTCGCCGGTCGAACAAGTCGAGTTGAGAATCTAAATTGAATGAAATCGCGCGGAATGAAACAACACCAAGGAGAAAATACCTGAGTTTTTCCAATATATCCCCGCGTAGATTATGTAGGCCAGAATGAGTAGATTCAATAGCATCACGCCGCAAATCTTGATGACCCTTCGATTCTTCGAGAGAAATGCTTCGATCGGCTCTTTTTTGGCTGCCCGATGACCTTCCGGTTTCTCGTGACGAGAAAGAACATCCTGTGTGAGCGTGATAATACGTGTTAATATTATATTTCGGGTCATTTGTTGCGCGCTACACGCGCGATATGCGACGGCATTAATGCGCGACCGCGCTGCGTTTTGTTATCGTCTGTGTTTGAGTTTCCATATTAAAGCGAGTATAAAATGAAATCCCGTGGATTACAGCGGTATACAGCCTCGATAATAGCGGAGCGAAACATTATCGTGCACTTTGCTAAGCGCATTACGCCGCGACCATTGTTCTCGAAACTGTTTGCGCGCACGAATGTGAAATTTTCATTGCACGTTCGGTCGGTATCGAACAAAGTTTCGCGATAAGTGGCGATAAGAACGTTACGAGAGCGTTACGAAAAGGAAGCTTGAAACGATATATTTACCTGATTCGCGTTGGTTTCACTTTTTCGACGGCCGCTCTCCAATTCCTCTAATTCATTGTCCTATTCATTAGGAATAACAGAATATTTCCAAATTATTTTTCGAGCAATGTTTCGTTTCGTTTCGTTTTGTTACAAACCGACCGAAGAATTGAGAACATTAGAAAATTGTAGCAATTACGGCACGGTACTTGGCGGTGCTTGGGAATTTAATAGAAGGCTTGAATTTTGGATAAAAACAGTTTTGAAGAGACTGATTACGTCGCGTATTTCAAGAAAACCAAGAGGATTGAACCAAGAGGATTGAATCTAGTCGCTCGAACCAGTTCGCTGACGGTAAAAGAGAAATAGATTTTACATAGAACGCCTGATTCACTCTGCCAGACATGGTTCGCCGCTGTGTACACTGCACTGTACAATATACGCGCTGCTAAAACGTGTCCTCCTTTCGTCGTACTTTTCGCATCAAAATGACGCGAATTGGAAAAACACGTCTCGTCGATGCGTGAAAGTAACAACGATCATTCCTGCATGAATGCCTCAATGCGCACAAATTTCTCGCACTTAGGCACTTCACAATCTCGTTGAGATCAACCGGCAGGTACAACAGGGTTGATAACAGGGCAATTTCGTAAAACTTCGGCGCAATTTAAGTCACCGTAATCTGGTTTGTGCACACCGTCGTTGTCGAAGCACGAGTAATGTCCAGTGCATTTTATGCGTCACGTTACATAATATCGTAGATCATGTTTCGAGCCGCTTTTCGCTCATTCCCGTCTCATCGCTCCCGATGTCGTCTCATACTTTGTGGATCAGATAATGTGTCATTGGTATCTTCATTGATCGTGGTATCGGTCGATCAGAGACTATCAATTGCGCACTAGATAACCGAGAACTCGAGGTACATTGTTTGCTGAGCGAAAGCGACTTGACACTGGAGAATGACGTACACACATGGCAAGGTATATCAGCGTTGCTTCACTCATGTGCAATGAAGTAAGCCTCGAGGCAACTGAAAATTACCACTATTCAGGTGTAGTCAGGTAACGTCGACGAAGAATGTGAGTGGGGGTGTCCAATGTCTTAGCGTCATGCTGTACTTGACAAGGAGGAAAGTAAGCATTTTTATTTCCCGTCACGGCGTGACTTTCGTGAATTGATGGATTTGATGATGCGTATCTCAAATCTGCGACATTTCTCGTCGCCTCTCGATCTTCTTTGATTAATTTTAAATTAATTACAATTGATACAAGTGGAACTTTGATGTCCCATTTTCATTTTTTACGATTTCAATTTTGCACATTAAGCAGCTTAAAGATTTCTCGTTAGAATTTCACGGAGATAATAATGTTGATAGTAGAGATGATAATAGAAAATTTTTAATGCGACATTCATTGCTCACCGCGGAAATTGCAAGAATTTTTATCCGTAATTTATCGATTGTTTCATGTTCTTTTCTGCGCTTAGATCATTATAAGTGGGAGAATGTGGAATGAGGAAAAATATGATGATGAACCGCATACAGGCATGCTTATTTTTATATCTATAGTGAACAGTAATTCCCCGAACCATCATGCTATCAATCGTGAATATCTGAACGATCGAAATTTTTAGAAATCCCATTTAATCGATCACGTGTGATCATCAGTTCACGAAACTCACAGACATTTCTCGAACTGCAAAAAGCTGCAAGCGTTATTAATAATTGTTCTGTTGCTCTTTCATGCTCCCATGAAAATACGATTTCTCGTCTGACAAATTATGAATTTCAGGTTTCATTCTCACTTTTCTCACTTCTCTTTCCATCTCTACACTTTCACTGCAGCGCTGTAACTACGCCCATGGAAAAAGGAAAAGACGCGTTATCAAATATTTACATAACGCGTCTGAATTATGTATAAATATTTCCATTTATATCGAAGCGCGTCTTACACACATACTCCTCGCGTCACCGTTTCGTCATATCCGTTTTGTGTGACTCGAGACGCATGGAATTTTGTTTATTTCGCGCGGCGATACTGTCAGTGCTACGACTTATCTCCTCTATCATTATATCTGTAAAAAGTGCTTCAATTATTCCGGCGAATCTGGCTTCTCCGTATCCTTTTCCTACTCTTTTGATACATAACGCCTACTCATCACACGATTTCTTATCGGACCGGTGCTTCGTGCAACTTACGTATCTTCTATGCTAAACTTCCCCATTATTTATCCTCGTCGTTAACGAGGAACAAATTACCGCCTCATGAGACGGGCAGCACCAAAAAGCCAACGAAAAATCACCAAGTCCGTCACGCGTGTGTCTCTCTCTCTCTCTCTCTCTCTCTCTCTCTCTCTCTCTCTCTCTCTCTCTCTCTCTCTCTCCTCTCTCTCTCTCTCTCTCTCTCTCTCTCTCTCTTCCTCCTCCTTTTCCTCATCATTCTCACACGCACAAGTGCGCGGTGATTATCACGCGATGCGTCGTCCTCTTCTTAACGGATCGCTGCGAGGTCCGCCCGATGAATGCATGCGTGAGGCGCAATTCAAAACAGGTGCGTAAAAATCCTCGCGCGGATGTGTGTGTAGTTAATCACGTTACCACGATGACGAGCCGAGCCGGATGGTACATAGAAATTGGAGAACTAAACCGGAAGACGAGGCTGCGAGCTCGCGCGCGATGCGCCGCGTCGCTCTAGAGAGAAAGAGAGAAAGAGAGAAGGGAGAAGAGAGAAAAAAGTCTGATTGTGCGATGCACATTTTAATGCCTGTAATTGTCTGTAGTAACCGCGTCGTGGTCTGTCGCGGGAATATCACACTCTTCGTGTGTGTGTGTGTGTGTAGGGGGGGGGGAGTCTGGTAAAAGAAACGAAAGAAACTAAACATTACTGCAAAAAATAATTTGCGTCTCGCACATTGAGAAAGTCGTCGCGAGGCGAGTCGGTTGCGTAAAACCGATAACCGATAATCGATATCGATAATATATCATGGTGGATAATATATTATGTTTGTTTCTCTGGTGAAGACATGTTTCACTCGCAGTGCATGCGAGTGTGTGCATGCACTGCGTCATAATTTGTCGAATATCGAAAGAGACACGAGATTCGATAAATTAAAAAGATAAACGTGTCTTTACGAAATGACGAAGTTTTTTAAATTATATGTGATGAAAAATAAGGTTTGGAAAATGGAAATTAAATGTCCCACGTGAACGCGCGTGAATTTTTTACATCGCAATGCATCGTCGCCGTGGACAGCTGTAGTCACTCACGTAAGCACGAATGCGCGTGGTAATTATTGGAGATTTAGATATAATGTGTCTGTTTGTGTGGATGAGATTGCAAAAATTCACATCGAACTTGTAGTAATTCGCCTCGACGGTATCTACAGCTTAATCTATAGTTCCTGCATTATTTAACACATTTTTGTAGATGGACTTATCTACACAAGTACGAAGGTTGAATCCGACAAGGTTGAATCGCTGCTAATAATGCGCACGCGTAGATATCGATACGTGATATCTGTTTGATCTGTTGTCCTATTGTGAAACGAATCTGTTGAATTCCCGATTGTGACGCCTTTCCGATCAGACTTGATGCGGATAATTTCTTTCTCACTTTCTCAGGCAAATTGAACCTACAAGCTGATCGGGAGGAGAGCGAAGCAACACAAATTTCACGATTTGCTTCTGCTTGTGTGTGTAGCCTTGAAACGAAATCTCGAAACGGATGTCGAATGAACACGATCGCGCGCTTTAGATCGCGTTAAATTGCAACGTCCTGGTGGTATCTGCAGCGAATCTGTGATTATGTGTCTGAATCCCCACTTTTTCTTTTTTTTAATGTACAGTTTTTTTTTTTTTTTTTTTTTTGAACTGTGCATTAACACGAGAGACTAAAGGTAAAAGTACCAAAGGCGTGTACGCACCAGACGCGACCAAAACCCACGATGAATTCGAGTGGAACTGGATCAGCCGGAAGAAAAAAGAAGGCCGTTCGCCAAAGTGCGTACCGCTGGAGGTCCAGAGTGCTCGACGGGTTTGTTGTCGAAGTTGAACACGAAGTTGAATTAGATTGCCTTGTAAAACTCGAAGCAGGAAGTCCGAGTAATCGGAGGCTCCCAAGGCTAAACTGTCTGGCTGCTGGTGAGGAGCAAAAAAATCGGGAAGATGATGCTTAGCTTATCTCGTCGAGACGCGACGAGAAGATACCATTATATGCCGAGAATGATGGTGTTCGAATTTTTGTTCGAAGCTGCGCGCGACGTCTCGAGTTTTTCCTCGCTGTAAGCGTTCTCCCTTTCGTTTGATATACTCGAGTTACTTAGGGTTACTCCTTGGAGCGAGAGCATCGCGACTGAGGAAGAGAAAGAGGAAATGCCGAACTCTCCAAGATTTACTCGACGGCGCCATCTCGTTTACGCGCTTGACGCATTTTCAGCGGACACTTCAGCGTGTAGGCGAATAAACGTTGTGATCGCATCAGCGTAATTCCTACGGACGTACGCGACAACATTTTTCGCCGACGTGAGGTCTGTTTTTATTAGAGGATTACATTCCGCTTGGACTCCCTTTTCGGCACTGTCACGTGACGTAATAATGTGTTTAGTCTGCCGAATGTTTTACACTTGGTGCTATTTACAAACGGCAAACGGTCTGCCGTGCTGCTCGAGGAAGAGAGAGAGAGAGAGAGAGAGAGAGAGAGAGAGAGAGAGAGAGTGGCGAAGACGATCTACGAGACGGGAAGCCGAATTAACCTTCGGCACTTTGCGACGCTGAGCGAGAGATCGTCGTCCGTGTCGCTCGTGGTACATCGGCAATATGTTCGCGTTGAATCCCCGAGTGATCTCTTTCGATTCGCGGATCGATGATCAACGAACGATGGAAGAGTGAATAAGATATTCCTCGACGGTTTATCGCGCTGACGCGATTTACGAAATTCTGCTCTCGATCAGTCCGCGAATAGTCCGGTCTATCTTAGATTCGCGTGACGGGTCTCTTTTTTGTTTATGTCTAATGCCTCGACCTTGAATCTAATTTGGAGAAATTCTATTTTTCTCCGCGTAGACGCGACGCGAGCTAGGCGAGCTCCAGCTTTAGATCTTTGGCGCCGTGCCCGAAACAACGCGGGATAGCCAAACGCGAAAAACCCGGACTTGCAAAACCCGAGAGAGACGTAGCGCGCCACGCGCGCGTTCCCGTATATATTATTGAAATCATCGAGCGGAGCCGGAAGGCATCGGGACGTGTCGTCGTCGTCGTCGTCGTCGTCGTCGTCGTCGTGTTAAACGCCAAATATTGTGCCGCGACTCTCCCAGACGAATCCGACGCGCGGATATGCGGTCTCGCTGCCTTGCGCGCGGAAATAGTAAACCCCGCTGATCTGCCTGCTCTGGATAACTGGACACACGAGACACCCGGGAAAATTGAATATTCCGCGGAATCCCACCGCCCTGCCCCTTTGCTCTGCCCTACACCCCTCCGCGCCGCCTCCGTAGCTTCCAAACGTCCTCGACTCGTTCAAACGTCGTCAACAACATCGCACGCATCGCGCCGCGTTTCTTATCGGTCTCTCCCTTGCCTGCTGAAAACAACAGCGTCGAATTTGAGCCTTTCGTTCGGAGCAGGAACGCGCGCGCGCGCGCGCGCGCGCGAGTCCGCTCGAGGTTATTCGAAGCTATAAAATCTGCAAACCCGAGAGGACTCTCAAGAGAATCCTTCAGTGGACGAGACTTTCGCGTTTTCGAACCTTTGTATTATTTGTCATTTTTTTATGTTCTTCATCTTCATCCTTCATTTCATTTATTTCATTCACTTCCCTTTGTCTCGTCTGACTGTTTCTCTTCTTGCTTCCGTTGATCTCTCGTGTAATTAATCGCGGAACGTTATGCAGCTCGCTTATAACGTCGCGAGAGGCGGTGACGCGTGCAGACTTACGCTGCAAGTCGGAATTACATAATCGGGGGGACGGTATCCACGGCGACGAGATCCGTTGTCGCATCCGCGACATAATTCGCGACTAAGCAGGCACCACCTCGTCATTATGCGATTTAACCAGACGGAGCGTACGTGACTGCGCGTACCCTCGCTTCCTCGTGCGTTCTTCTGTTTCTTCTTATGTTTCCCTCCGGTTTCGCTGGAACGTTTGCGTGTCCGATTTATCCGTCATCGTCTGTCGCAGCACGCGACACACAGCTTCTGCGGCGTCTGCGAGGCTCGTGTTCCATCTTGTAACTCTCCTGCG